AAACTGAAAAAGGAACCCTATTTCCGCAGCTGTCCGTAACCACGAGACCCTGACTCATAGACAAAACAATGAATCTTCCAGCACCGGCAAAAGGAGTTAATTAACATATTACTTTATGAGTTTCTTCAAAATGCTCCCGAATGAAAGCCTTGTCCGTGTTAAGTTTGCTGTTGTCTTTTTAAAAAAGTTCTAAACTTGTTGAACCTATCTGTAGTCGAGGGAAGCGAGGATGGATCTGAAGAGAGATAAATCCCTCTTTCTTCTACATCTGTTACCGATTACGAGCTCTTTAGCAGAGTTACGTTACATATTAATATTTCGGACCGTTATATAATATATAAACGTGTTTGTCTCACACAGTATAAACAAGTTTGTCACGTGACATACCGTTACCGAGAGTGCTTATTAAAAACTCTAAAGGACAAGCATATGAATCTGAACAGATTGTCTTCGCTCAAAATGACTTTGGCACGTATCAAACGGAGCTGCTCTCAACTCCCTCGCGTCCAAGTTGTACAACTGTACCTGTGGAGTTAACTTTAAATGTATTCTTAGCAGCGGATTGAAGTTTTGTCATCCAGGGGCAATTTGCGTAAATAACAAATACGGGGTTAATCTCCCTTCCATATCCTTTGTTTCATCACTATAAATGTGAAACTCGTAAAATATACCGGACATAGATCCTGCCTTGTATTCTAAGATTCAAAACTTGTCTGATAGCAGAACTGATCTGTTGTTGGTTTAAAGTTAGTATCGAAACTGAAGGTCGAACCGTACTTCCGCCTCTTTCCGCAACTGTCCGTAGACACGTGACCCTGACTCATAAACAAAACACGTGACCCTGACTCATAAACAAAACACGTGACCCTTACTCATAAACAAAACAATGAAACTTCTTGAACCAGCAAAAAGAAATTGATATATTGCTCAATGAATTTCTTCAAAACGCTCCTAAATAAAAGTCTTGCCCGTGCCTCCTTTTTTTTGCTTTTTGTTTTAATTTTTGCGCTTGTTGACACCGTC